GATTTATATCTCCTTTAGAGAGAGAGAGGGTGCATCGGCACCGTTTGAGTGGTCCATTATCTGGCTTTAATTGGGTCGTATGATAATGCTATCTAGGGGCCCATCACTGTTATGGCTCGGTACCTGACTCCATTTTGATAGAATAAGTGATTATTATTGAAATATACAGGCTCCCGACCCTCGTATATTTCCATCGACTTAAGTTGCGCTAGTGAATAACAGAATAAAATTAATGAAATATGAAAATGAATTTTAAAAACATATATTTCAAACAAACTTTGATTCACTAAGACGATCAGAGAAATGAAGCGAACAAGAAAGAGCGAAGCGAAACGGATCGGAGAGGGCATGTGAACTAACTTCATTTAGTCAAGCGTGAATCGATATTTATGGTCAACTACAAGTAAGCTACAGACACATGATGATTTGGGTGAGTGATTAACACACATACGACCTTAAGCGAATAAGTGAAAAAGTCAAAATATGGCTCGGGAAGAAATTAGTCAGTCCAGGAGTTATAATAGCCTGTTTGGGCTTAACATAATACCAGCCACTACACCATGGAGTCCAAGTTAGGGCACTGAGTATGTTTTAGGGTTGGTTGGATACTCTATAGCGTCAATGGACTACAAATTCTTCCAGAGCTTCCACTCTACGCGAGTAAGTGAAAACGTATACTCATGAAAAACATAAGTGGAGTCCTCTTTGATGTGTTTGGGACATTCTTCTATAATTCACTGGCTCGTGGACTGGTCTGGTGGGACAGGGGTTCGGACTTCATTTATACTCGGAGGGAGTTTGTTTTATCGGACTTGTTTCGACATTTCATAGCGTTAAGCAGTCCATTTAGAAAATGGTGCAGGCCAAGCATACAATCCAGGTCACTCCGCTTTAGAGATATCTCTGGTTGCGAAAGATCTATGAGTCTTGGTAGCTTATGATCTAAGGTCTCACGCTAACTGCGACGAAAATGATTTTTGAGAAAACCTTCTACTAGCATTTTGGAAGAGTACTTTTAGCCAGTTTAGCGACGGAACATCTTACTCAATTTAGAAGTTTCACTCATCACCTCCTAGAGTATAAAAACATAGTGTTTCTCCCCTCACTCCAAAAGGATAAGAATATATTGGAATGTATCTAAAGGTGAGTCATGGAAATAGCTTGGGGACTGAAATTTAAAACGTCTAGGGAGGAGTATGGGTGTTTCAGAAGTGACCTTATAATGACTTATAGTATCCTAACTACTCCTGAGGACCGTCTTAAATACCCAGTCAAGTTCAGTCCGTGCACAAACCCCAGGAGTAACACTCAGTCTTCTGTCTTCAGTCCTCAGTAATAAGGATAGGAGGTTTATCGACCTATATTAATCCTTGCAGTTTGTAATACTGTGAAGGTCCAATCTCGTTCTGAATATATCAACAAAAGGTGCTGATATTACGTGTTCCGGTAGAGAATTCCAATAATCTACTATCCGGTGCGAGAAAAGAGACTCCAGACGTAAACGATTTGATTTCGGTTTTTCAACTTTCTTCAAATGTCCTCTCACATGATCAGTCCTAGAGAGAAGTAAAAGATAATACCTGTTAATACCAAGGTCATCGTTCAGTATACGATAAGCCAATATTAGATCACCCGGTATTCTACGGTAAGATAACGGAAATAAGTTAAGGTGTCTCAGTCTGGCCAGATAGACCTTTTATCGCCTTAGTACCTCGTCGCTGGACTCTTTACAGCATATCTGTTTCATACGTGAAACAAGGACTCGCTGCTTGAATCCCATATTCTAAATGTGGCCGCACGTAAATCGGGTATAATAATTCAAACATTTCATTATCTAAATACTGGAAAGACCTACGAATAGACCATTACACCCTGTAGTCTTTCGCAGCAGCAACCTTACAATGACTAGTGGTTTTAAGATCATTGCTTATTACGACTCATAAATCTTTATAGTTTCTTACTTTGGGTAGCACGAATCCACATATTGTGTAGTGATACGAATCATCACCGTACTCTTATTAGGGTTTACCTCTAGTGACAACCTGTCCAACCATGCCACCAATCAGCTAAGATCATCCTGTAATACTATTCTATTTGACACACTGTGTATGGATTGCCAAATTTTTATGTCATCAGCAAAGAGTAGAACGGATGATTTTGCTGCAGTTGTTAGTTCATTTACATAAAGTAGAAAGAGAAGAGGACAGAGTATTGTATCAGAGAACTCCACATTTTACAGGTATCCACGAGGAAAGAGCTCCATTAACCCTTACCCTTTGTCTCCTATCATGGATAAAGTTACTGATTCAATCTACGACTGTCTAATGGATTCCAAAACGTTCCAATATGAATTTAGGAGCAGGATGGGAGACCTTATCGGAGGCCTTACTTAGACTTATGAAGATCACATCTACAGAAATATTCCAATCTTTTGCCGCAGCCCAATCTCTCATTGCAATGAAATTTGTCAAGCATGATAAGCCTCTCCAAAAGCCGCACTAGTTAAGCTAACGGGTCTATAGTTACTAACTAAATCCCTACTCTCAGCCTTATAAAATGAACGTATTATTGAGTCTTTCCAGTCTCTGGGCAGTTTGGACTGCCTCAGGGACATGTCAAACGGTATCGCTAATGGTTCATCAATTACATCTGATATGGCTTTCATAATCCTAGGATGAACATTATCAAAACCACTGGACTTATCAGGTTTGAGATGCTGAAGTAGCCTTAAGACAGTACCTTTCTCAATGATTACAGAGTTCATCAGTGAGCCGCCACAATCACAATGAATAGTTGGTCGTTCCTCATTACTGATATAAAACACTTCACTAAAATATTCCGATAAAACTTCAACTTTTTTTTGGTATCATTTCTTGCCAAGATTAACGGATAATCTTATATCAAAAGTGATGGAATTCCATCGTTTTTCTGAATTCGCCTTTTTAAATACGAGAATAACCGTTTCGGACTATTTCTAGAATCCTTAACCAATTGTTTTTCATATGACCTTCTAGGCTTACTTATTAGCGCTTTACAAACACTCCTAATCTTACGATATCTGGACCTGTATTGTTCTAAGCCAGTAGAGATGGACATATTCCTGTGCTTCTTCCTTCTTTTAAGAAGTTTCCTGACTGGTTTGGTAATCCATGGTGGACTGTTATTCGGTCTTCGTGGTACCAGATATGGTATGAACGAGGACGTAACTAAAATAAACTTACCTTTAAATACAGACCATGCTTCTTCAACTGATAAGCTAGTGTCTACAAACCAATCTGTCTTAGCAGAGCATTTCTGAATGACTGATATGTTAGCTTTCCATACATTTGGGCGGGGTGTAACCTAACCGTATATCATGTCCCTAGTTCTAAACATGGATGACGAAACAGCATGATCGCTGTTCACTAACTGTGGAAGAATATTTAGGTCGTCAGCATCCTCAGTTTCATGACTGATTACCAAGTCCAACAGAGTAGAACCTTAGTTAGCATCAAAACGTGTGGGTTTGGATACATGCTGCACTAATGCATGCTCCATTATTGTTATCAGGAAACTGCTATCAAGGGAGTTTATAGTTCCTTCCGTGGTCATCTCAGTCCAACTAATATCAGGTGCGTTAAAGTCTTTTATTATCAAGCATCTGTTATTTGCGCTTCATAGTTGAATGTACCCTAAAATAAAGTCGTCAGCTAAGCAGATTAGACTGCGACAGATGACACCAAGCATAAATGTACCATATCCGATAGCCAAATCACAGCTAATGACTTCACAATTAACGCTATCATAGGATTCTCTAGCAGAGAAGCTTATATTTATATTATTGGCTATATATAAAAGGCACCACCTCCTTTTCTATATTGGTGTCTGTCACTCCTTAGGTATTGGTATCCGGATAATTCTGTAGTAATGTCTATGTCATGGACTAACCAAGTTTCTGTCAATGCTCAATGACTGGCCTTAATTTTTCCACTAATGCTTATAGTTCATAGAGCTTATTTCTTAGACTACGAGCGTTAGCATATAAAACTCCTAGGTAGAACGGCCTATCAACACAGGCCTTGGTAGCGTTCGCTTCAAAGACCTGACTATCCGAAAACCCACTAACCGGAACTTTTCCTCACCGTTTTGTCAACGGGTTTCTAGTTCAGCTGGTGCTTTCTTCCTTTTTATTATATCTTCAAGAGACATATCTAACTCGGATGTCGGAATAGTCGTGACTACGAGCGCTACTTAACAGGAGATCACATTGCTTCTCGTATCCTAGGATTAACTTAAGGAGTCTGCATGGTCGGGGTTCAACGGTATCCCCGTTCTCTTACCTATTCTGACCAGCTTTTTAACCTGAACTCCTTTAGAGTTATATAATAAGATACAACGAATATATGTTCTCCTAGCTTCTCTTAGACATGCGCGTGTCTAATTTTGGGGCCAGGGTCATTTGACCCAGCAATTTACTCACAGTAATATTCAATGACATTAGATTCTCTTTCTCGGGCTACTAGATACCAAAGGCCGTTAAACGAAAGGTTATTCTATTCTGTCCAGAACAACTTGAACCGTTTGAAAAGTTACAATCACATAAACATCTTTTTTCACAGCTAAAGCTACCCTTGTTACAAAAAATTGGTACTGTAAGCCCCAAGTTTATTCCAATCCTTACTAAAATTAAGCAGTATGATGCAGTTTTATCCAGGAAGGTGTAAGTCGGCAATGTTGTACGTGGATGTCAAGTATTTTAAATTTAATATACACAAGACAGCAAACATTAAAAATGTGATTATTCATTGAGGAGTTTGAACACAGCATTCTACGCACTACGAATTGTAACATACATTGTAAAAACGTTTTGCGCGATAACAAGTATGACAATTGATTTTAAGTGTTGGCTAAACGATTTAAACAAAAAAATTAGAACAATAAAAAGCGTCGTTTTTTGGTGACACATTTAAAAAAGCATCTGAAACGAGAGTGAACAGGTTTGGAGATGTTTTGTGGTGTATGATAGAGTTGTGGGAGATACAAAATGTCAGGTGGTCCTACTGTCCTCCCTTCTGATGGGAAATGTAAAGAGCGATGTAATAGGTGATTCCTGCTTGACATTATTATTTTTTATAAATAACATAAGTGCAAATGTAACCGCTATTTTTCCGTTGTAGTGAACGAAATGGTGGAAGCTATGATCCTGTGAGGTGGAGTGAATATTTTAACATACGGGATGATATAGAACTCGAGGGGGGTGTAAGGATATGCATTATAATTTTCGTCCTTCTAGACATTTCGAATCTATCGTCGAGGTGTCGAAGGGCCTCTCCTCTTCTTTTTACATGGTGGTGGTTTCTCAGCTTTAACATGGGCGGTCCTAAGTGTATGTATTCTTGCTACTACGTTACTTGCTTAGACTCTTATTACTGATCAAGTTAAGTGCCAATGTTTGGCAGTAGATATGAGAGGTCACGGTGATACAAAGTGCCTCAATGATGATGACCTATCTATCGACACTCTCTCGAAGTACGCTCGTTTCTAGAATTATATTTTATTTAAGGGATATAATAAAAATAATATTTGCTATGTATCCAATGGAGGCTCCGCCAATTATCCTTGTGGGCCACAGGTGAGCGACTCAAAAACTTGTGTTGATGTTTGAGATTTGAAAATTGCTTTGATTTTTCGGATTAGTTTTTGTCACTGTATATTAGCCTTACCTGTTGTAGCTGTTTTTGCTGTTTGGTAACACATTTTTTATATAACTAAAGATTATAACCATTTGCCCTTAGTCACTTATGAGTTGTGTGTACCATTTTTAGACGCTAAAGATTTGTTGTCAACGTTATGTATTGTTATCGCTAGAAATCCAGTTTATATTTGCGGGATATGGTAGTATATATGTGCTGTGCACCATATTTAGCACATTCTCAAGGTATTCCGGTAAATTTCTTTAGACATAATTTACAATGTATATGAATACAGTGCTAACCAATCACTACTGATTCCATGTAAACTTTGTTATTTAAGGATGAACCGTATTGTTTTGTTCTCTTCCACCTAATATTTAGTATTTTTAAGCTATCCTTAGATAAAAAGACTAATGCATGTTCATTGACATAATACTTAGTAGCTTTTGTTCAGAAGTGCGATTTTTTTTATATTATGGCCATTTGTGCGATGTGTCAGCCATAAAATTCTTTATATTACCTGCTCCCAGTTTTACTGTTTATTTAGCAGTCCATTTGAATCGAAATCAATTAAAAAATTTCCCTATAATAACTGGTCTGCACCACTTCCAACAATAAAGGTGTTTTAATCGTGGTCTGTACCACGTATGTCTGTTAGTTTAGCTATTGAATAATTTTTATGTAAAATTACGGGAAAAGATTTGTGTTGCTTTCGGTTCTTTTCCTGCCAAACTCGTCTTCCGTATGGTTTTTAATATCTCTGAGCTGCTATAGTCATGCCATTCTAGAAATCATTCAACCAGTATAAATTGGAAAATTAGTTGTACTTATAGGGTTTTAACATCTTCAACTAATAAGCTTGATAAAATGTTTGTGGGCTATTAACTTAAAATATTGTGGTTGCCAGGAGGGAACGTGACTGCGTAGATTTTTGGTATTTTGTTTAGCGATGTAGAGGATACTTTTTTTGTTCAAAACGACGGCTTATGGTCCTGGTGTTTGATAATATTTTAATATTTGGGAATAATTTATTTGTATTATAGTGCATTCCGTTCACGTCACTGTGTAACTTCATGTAGTTGGGAGTTTTTCAGGCTTTTTACACTTTGGTTCATCGTCTTAATCTTACTTGCTCCTCGTATTTTATCTTTAGGCTGTATTTTGAATGGTCACTCCAGTTTCTGTGACGTAAATAACAATATAAAACAATGCAACTGTCCTCGTGTGTCTATAGAACCAAGGAAGATGCGAACAATATTAGCTAAAATAGTATGGGTTCATCTTGTAACTAAGTGGAATAGACTGCTGAAACTTAGCTTAACTTCCATTTGATTAATAATAGAGAATTTCTTAATTTATAGATGTTATAGTCTTTTGTAATCTGAAGGGGAGTATTCGACTCCATCGACATGTCGTGTTTTTTTTTACTAAAGTTTGCACCAAAAATTACGTGACCAACTGTTTAGGTGTAAGTAGAGACTTGAAGTAGCGTAATACGTTAGTTCAGTGTACCCTCGTCAGGTTTTCTGGCTTTCAAGTTTGTTGAAGTTTAGAAATATAGTGTGTATTATACATCTCATTAAAGTAATGTGTAGGGATACGGTATTCTTTTCATGCCCCAGTGTTTTGTCTTTAGAAACCTGTAGGATCACACTCGGGTTAATCGTTCTCATTCAATTACTCACGTTAAAGTAATTCTATATTTCTTTACGAAAGCAATGCTCAGTAATTTATAATATAGTCTCCGTGACATGTGGTTGTAACTCAGAATTCCGTCTTCTGAATCGGTTCTCTGTTTACAGTGCAACAGATTTGTATGTTACATTGCCTAAAAGCACGTTGGTGCTTTGTTGCAAACATTTTCAGCGCTAATCACTTTTAATTTGTTTTTTTATGATTTGTTCAGTACATATAGTTGTAAAAATACTGGTAAAGTATTATAAATCCTTGTAATATATATCATCTCAGCATGTAAGGGTTAGGATTGCTCTTAGTTTCACCCTATCAATCTTTGGATATTCAAAAATCACTCCCGATTTCGACTAAGTAATTAACTCATTCATCAAGTAGGGGCTAAGGATGCTACAAAATTACACAAACAATAGTAAGTGGAGCTGCGTTCGGACCAGAGACTTAGTGTCCAAAATTTGAATGTCTGAATCATTAAGCCACATCTTCTGGTCATCAAACACTGGAAATTTTCTGGTGGATCTGTTTTACATAGATCGTTTCCCAAACAGTTATAAAATGGTCAATGTATTCAAACTCCGTTTTTTAATTTTAAGTTTCGTTACCTATTTGACCAAGTTTTATTGTTTACTGCATGGTAGTCGAAGCAGACATCAATATTTCTACAAAAGTAAATAGCTTTCGATGTACATAGCTCATGGTCGGTATATATTTTTCAGATCTTCGGTGGTATTAGTTACTAATCTGAAAAAAACTATATTGTTTTTTCTTATTTTAGTATGGGTGGAGCTGTAGCAGTACATGTGGCATGCAAGCGAACTATCCCTTCTTTGGCTGGTCTTGTTGTTATTGATGTGGTTGAAGGTAATAGAAATTTTCCATATATATACGGTTATTGTACAATTATTTCTTTACATTTACTTTGAGTCTGATTGACTAAACTTGTGGGACTGTTTAATCACAAATGTAACGCATTTTCAAACAACAGGGGATTTACTCTTCTCACCTACAAGGACTGTATTATATAGGTGTTATAAGTTAGGAGTCAACTCTTAAAAACTTAATGCCATGTTGACATCCATGCCTTGACCCCGAGACAGGATCAGGATGGCTAATGCAGGGTAAATCCAACTGAACTAATCAGGAAGTTAGTTAAGCTTAAGATAATAATAAATAATAAACAGTAGTTTTTAAAGCTCGTATCCATTTATAAACCTTTAAAATTATTGAATTATGTGTGCTTTTACTACATGACAGAAATATGTAGCTAACAACAAAGTCTAATTTGTTGTTTAAAAATGACTTGATCTTATCAACAATTCTAGCATATCTAAACTCGATGATATTATTATTCGCCTTAGTGTTATTTACATAATTAGGTTTAACAAGCAAAACAAGTCGTAAAAGGATAATCGGGGAGAGAGGTAGTCGAAATATCGTCTTTAGGTCAAAAACCATAATTATTATGGAGTACTAGCAAGTGTGCGTACATTCAAATTCTGGTGTAAGGGACAGATAAATGGTACTTGTACCACCATTTATTTAACGCAAGTAGTTCTCTGTTGCTGTGCTTCAATTATTTGCTGTATTGTTATCAATCTTAAGAATTTCGAAACTGTCGGTTGACTTGATTTCTTTCTGGTTATATACCACGTAACAGTAAACATAGCATTCACCTAAATGTATTTAACATCCGTTTTACAACTAATGCATACGGTTCACATGTATCCTTAGTACATATATTGGTTTTAATCATGAGAATCAATTTTTTAAAATGTTTTTAGGATCTGCTTTGAGCTCATTACGTGGCATGACAGCTTTCTTACGTGGTCGTCCTCAAAGTTTTCTTTCTTTACCTCAAGCAATTGAGTGGAGGTTAGTTGAACATTGTTATAGGAAAAAACACGCGGTAAAGTTCTACAAAATAGTGTTCATAATATACTTATTTATGTTTTTATTTTTATAATTTGTAAAGGTGATACATTTTTGCTTTAAAAAGGATTTTTCTTCATAGTATAAAGTACATCTCCATGTAAGGGCGTACTTTTAAGCTTTAAATATCCGATTGATTGCATACACCATCATTTGGTATATCCATGTGATCAAGTGACATAAACGTGTACTTCTAATCGTTTTTTTTAAGTTCCTGCTCTTTACTGTTGCAAAATTGCTTTGATAATGAGATGATTGATTGAGTTCCACATTCATAGTTTTTCAACAAACGTTCAGCTGAAGTAGTAATGTTATTGTGAACTTAGTAATTGGATTTTTGTAGCTCGAAAGCTGAATGTTCACATTGAACTGTTGTTAAAACTTTAGTCTCTAGTTAATTACTTATTCATTATTAAGTAACATATTCCGCAATTATGTCAACTGCACAGTTTTCCACCCCTTAATAGTGACTTTCTGAATGGTGTTCATTCTTTCAGTGTTAAATATAATCTTTTCTTTGTTTACTGTTTTTTGTTGATATATTTTAAGTTACTTCAGCCTTTTATTTGTGGTGATTTCTGATGTACTATTATTATTGGTGAGCGTATAAACAATTTTCGCTCAGATATATTATTTTAATTCAGTATGACAATCACTTTAGATGGGGATTTGCGTACATCAGATTAAGGATCTAGAACTTTTAACATTTTAGTTGCAAATGTTGTTGTAAATTATTCACTCCTTTTCCTTGGTTACTAAGTTGTAACGATAATATAAATTCATTTGAAACTACTGATTAACACTTATTGAACGTATATTATTTTGCTCAGAGATACAACACTATTATTGCTTATGTTTAGCATTTGTTGTTTTTAGAACAATTGAGTCAACCTTATATCAAAATTTCAATAAAGCACATAATCTACTTTCACACTATATCAATTATATGTGGTGTTAAATTGTATAAAATCAAATTCTATATGACGTTATTACATTTTGTTCATGATCTTTGTTTTTATGAATTTCAAGGGTATTATTTTAAATAAGTTAGTAATATTCTTGGTTTTAATCATATTGCATATACATGTTGACTCCTGTTCAGTATTTGAACATTTATTCTTACTGTTTGCCATCGCCACTACAGGAAAAGTTATATCTGTTCGTTGCGAATAAAACTCGGTAAAAGTATAGTGAGAAAATAAGCTAATCAGGATCGAGAATTCCGCGAGCAAGGGAAATACATTTCTAGATTCCTCAAAATATTTAAAGTGATAGCCAAAAATAGGTTTTTGTCACCACAGAGTAAGAATGATGGCGTTGAATGAATTAAAAATTCAGTTCTTTCTCTGTAAATTGTATGCGACATACAAATCGACACTGTCTCTAAATTCTAATCTTAAACATCCAATACAGAAATAAGTCTTGAACTGGTGACACTAAATTTCATGGACAAACTAGTCAGAATTCGTTCACTAATCAAAATTCGTTCACCCATATAACTATAGAGCACTTTCGTGTTATGCCTGATGTCAGTTTGTGTTGAAAAAACTAACCCTAAATACTTAATCATAACCAGGGACGATGTGTGGACTCTTAACAATCTGTTTGGATCTCTATAAGTGTTCGAGAACAAATATAATATACATTCGTATGAACGAGTTTTTATGTATCCGTTTTCTTTCGATTTACAGAAAGAGTAACGTACCTGTGACAGACGTTAATAAATTCAAAAATTATATCAAATCTGTTTGCGCTTAGTTATATTATTGTTTTCTTCTCCACAAACTATCCATTTACAAAACAATTTTCTGAATGGTTGAGAACTGACTGGAAAGTCATCACAGTTATTTTAAATTCGTCTATGTTCGTTTCTCTTTTTGAAAGATCTATTTTCTGAAATTATTATTTTTTTTTAAAATTTCGTTCATAAGTTTTAATTAACCTTCGGAAACCTTCTTTGCTACAGACGAACGTTTAACACAGTTTTCGTAAAATTTATTTTTGTCTACGATATAAATGACTGATTGAAATGTGATATAGCAGTGCTCTTCTACCGGTTGTTACACTAATATAAGAAAGCAAAATTTAACTAACTTCAGGAATAAAATATTTCAAAGAAAGGCATAAACTGGAAAAATATTATCGGCTAGAATTTTTTACATACAGTTAAATTGGAATCGAAAGTGTTTTTATTCATACCATATGGAGAGATTTCTGTTTAATATACTTGTATTATGCGGTCACTTATCAATGCTATAAGACTTGCTGGTCTGCATATGATTCGTTGTTATGTCTCAACTTGATAACTATGGTCTCCAAAATAAATCAAATCGAGGCGGATGATATCAACTGCTTCTCCAATTATCACCGAAAGTGTTTATTCGGTGTTTATACAGTCTTCTCACTGTACAGTTTTAAAATATGATAATTCGAGTTACGTGTTCATTAATATGGTTTTCCAACCAACTGTTTTTTCGGTGCCATATCTTCAAATGCTTGCCGAGTTTTGTCTAATCTCATCCTGTTAAGTTAGTTGTCGTGGTAAAGTAAACTTCCAGGTGATTATGTTATCGATTGGATAATCTTCACCAGTATAAAGCTGCTGGCAGTAATTATGTAATTATTTTTCATTTATTTTCAAGCGTTCGGAGTTCGCAAATACGTAATGTAAATTCAGCTCGTGTGTCTTTCCCTGGTCAGTTAAAGCGTATCACAAGTGGTCAGACTGCAACAAGCGAACTAGATTCAGGGATCGCAGTTCTTTCTAAAACTGTTCCGTCTGTTCCTTCTGTAACTTCAACGCTAGATGATAGAGCCTCTTCTGTAAGTCGATTATCAAGTCAGCCATTGGTTGAAGATTCAGAAATAGATAACTCTAGAAGTTCAGAAATCAATTCTGAAAATAATTTAGAAGTTGATCAAAATTCAACAAGTGTGAGTTATATTTATTTCTCATTTTTATGTACGTCACCATTTCATTTATCGAGTTATATAACTAGAAATGTTTTCGTTCCTAATAGATATTTATTGGTAAAGTATACGTTCAATCGTCTTTTGTATTTTCAGTGAGAATAAATTTGGTGCTATTGTGGTTGTGGGCGTGTTGAGTTTACTTCGGTTGTCGTTTTTTGCTCATTGTGTATAGCTCTCTTATTGGTAATTAATTTTTTTTGCTTTCATCTTAAATACTTCCGTTCTTTTACTCATCAACTGGTTGATTTTAGTTAATAAGAAACGTTGTCCAGCAATTTATGTGTATTTCCCCCTTTTGATAATTCACATCCATCCCTGGCTAAAGTTGTACAAGATTGTATTCTGTTTTGTAGCTTATTTTGTTAATTACAAACTTATTTTGTGTCAGTCAGTCATCGACGTCGTGTGCGACTTGACATGAATATGTATCAGTTCACGCCGTTACATTCCACGTTTACACTGAGTGGATGATGAAATAAATAAGGGCGGGAAAACAATTAGAAATGTAATAAAAGGTATAACGTATAAAAAGAATCGAATGTGTTTGAAGAATGAAAAGTACGAAATCTTACATTGAATTTCGTACTCCGAAGAAGATAAGTGATCAATATAACTGTATTAATGTTGACAGAACTCTCGACACTTACCTTGATTCTGGGGTCTTCATGGGAATATCGACGTCATTAACCACTCTCACTTTTGTTCGTTACTCACACATTGAGGTGAGGATTATCGAAGTTACGTCTTCGGTCAAAATAAACACTTACTTGCTGATTTAATATTTCGTAGGGCTAGAAAAAGAAATTTCGAATTAGACCTCTGTTTCCAAATATTGTTTTACTATAGAAAGGGGGGTTCTATTGAGGTTTGCGACTGGTATGAAGATATTATAACGGGATCTGTTTCTGTCACCAGTCATTTTTATGACTTACGATTGTTGTATTTTCTACTGCCTAATATTTTTTTGGACACGTTACTTCACTCGACCAGTAGCGAGTCAGAACATAGGTTCGTAGCGAACGAAGGCATACCTCAGAAATTTGGATTGCAAAAAATAATGTAGTACGAACATTAAAATTTATGTAAAATTAACACTGGAATTTATTGTTTTCTCAATGCACTCGCTAGAGCTGATTGATTGAAAATGTGCCGATCAACGTGCCCCTACCTGATATCGACGCAAGCATTCACTAATCAAAGAAACTATCCTCCTAACAGGCTTGTGTCAAGAAGAACAAATGATGTCAGCATTTTAATAAAGATTTCAATGGTTAAAATTAAGTTGATACATAAGATGGAGTTTTCCTTATAGTTATCAGGAGCATCTGACCCTTGTTGTACAGATTATATGCAAGATAAGAAAAAATAGTACATCTTGAGAAACTGTTTTGGCTTCTATTCGTTGTCAATGGAAAATTTGTGTTGAAATTCCGAGTTTCTTTGTCATCATTTGTGCTGGAATAGTTCATTCGTTGTTGGATATAACGAGTTCGATAATTGGTTAAAACTTATTTCATTGCTACTCACATCTTTCTAACAGCTGTAATTGATTGTCTCGTCAATAGATACTATAGGGAACAAATAATCCGCGGTTTTCCTGTTTAGAGGCCTTCAGTGGCTTGAGCTTAGGCTTAGTAACGATTGAATAGCTTTAGGAAGGATGGGTCTAGGTTACCTTTATGTTTATAGTTATAGGAAAAGCACCGTTTCAAAACTGATGAGAAATAATCTTATATATGCCATCGATATTATAGTTCAACTCCGTCACAATGCAAAGCTAGAATAATCAGTGAAGAGATTCTGCCGTAATACTTTTATTCAATTAATTAGCGGGTTTTTTGTACATAACATATTGTGATTTATGTGATTCATGGCGTACTTAATATCCATCAATTCAGACAAAGAAATCAATGAATCAACAAGTTAATATCAAAATATTGTACTGGCAACTTTACCTTAAATAGTCTGAATCGTCAAAATTCTATTATGAATATATTGGACTAAATAAGTTATTTATCTTACTTATTGTCTTTAAAATATCAGGAAACAGGGATATTCACGAAAACTACTTACATTTGGTACATTTTACCTAGATCAATCGGTGAGACTAAGATGCATATCAATTTTAAGTATTTTAGTACAATTTAATCTTTGTTGTGCAATAGGACTAATTTAATACGTTAAATTATATTATAGACGTATAATAAAAGTCTTACATGGGTTATTAGTTTATTGGAAATGTCGCCGAGACACTACCTATAATGTCATGGAATCGATCGGAATTTTGTCACAATTATGGTTCTTTATTTTAGAGACTTCTTTGTAAGCTAGAAGGTATGATGCCATTCCGTTCGTAAAAATGGTATAGTTTTTAAAGTTTATTATTACTCTTAGTTGGTAAAGACTTGACTCTATGCGATTGATTTTATTAAACGTTTCTCAGATCTTTGCGTATTGTTCATTAAGTTATGTGTCATATTCTGTTTAGATCGTGTTTTGCTTAAACATACTTTTATAGCTTCCTAGCTGTCATAATGATGCTGACAGTTTACAATACAATACAGAAAATGTATCGGTGGATTCATCTAAATTTTCCAGTCAGTCTATTGGAGAATCTATTAATTCAATAAGTGGTAGTACACTTCCTTCTTTTACTGACTCTTCTACTATTTCAAAACATTCTGGTTTGGTAACATGTCAATCGAATCGTCCACAGTATACTTGGAGAATAGATTTAATTAAAACACAACCATTTTGGCAAGGATGGTTTTCTGGTTTGTCTAAACTATTTCTATCAATACCTGAACCAAAATTACTTCTGTTAGCTGATGCTGATCGATTGGATAAAGATTTAACCATTGGACAAATGCAAGGTTTGTATTAAATGTTATTAAATCTTATTATTGTCGTTATTTTAGCAAAATATACCAGTGAATTTCTATGATTATTATGATTTAAATACAGTACAGACAGTATCACAGCCCACACACAAATCAAGTGACTTGTGTGGCGCATATTTATTCGGTGTCCCTTTGTACCAATATTTATGTGTTCAAGTAAAAAAAAAATACAAACAAGATATATGGATTCTTATTCTAGCTTCAAGTCATATTTAGTGCTTAAGGTTTGGAGATTAGCTGGGGCAGGTAATAAAATTAATATGCTTAATAGCATTAACGTTAATATCACTTTGTATCATTTCATCTTGCACGATTCGTTCATTTATTCTGTTCATGTTGATTAAATATTAGGTGTATGTTGATGAGTTAACGCATGAACCACATTGTATATGGAATGTTAAGATTTATTTTTTGTGTCATGAATTTCTTTTGACTGTATCTTGTATATTTCTAAAGCTAAGGATCATAAATAATATTTTTTTTCTAAAAATCAACCGCACTAATTAATATCCTAGTTTTAATATTTTCTTTAGTGATAAACAAGTTTATGTTCTTCTGAGTTAAGACATTTTAGTTGAAAGAAACCACAATAAGAGACTTTTGTGTCGTCTAAAAAACGATGCTCAAACGAAAAGAGCTATTCTCTGAAGTTTATGGATAAGTTTATAACTGAAATACTAAAATAAGCATAAATCATCTCTTTCTTTATGAATAATGATATGGTGAACAGTGCAAATCGAAGAATAAGCACCACACTAATAACCAACATCCCGTATGGTAAATTAATCCCACTGTATAAAACGTATATCTGAAATCAAATATTTACATATTTTTATTAAACTTATATCTGTTAGTTTATATGTATATGCTGCAGTATGTCTTTCGGAAGGATATAAAGACAAAATGCTACTTGATTTCTTGGACATATACCTACTTTTTATTAATGGTTGAGTTATGAATAATGAATTGATAAGTACACTAATATTTACTTAGTAATATTACTGATATGTATTATTGTCATCAATATTGATATTCAGGTTGTACGAGCCGTGTAGGTAGGTACTGACTATTACCTGATTGATACTCAGGTGATTATCCTAGCCTATATTTGAAGATAACTGTCTCACCATATAAACACAGCGTTGTTTATCCTAGTATTTCATTCATTGTATCATTTATCAGTGTGTATTTAATACTTTTTTTATCTGCATCAGTGTTTTTAGTTATTTTTTTACATTTGACATATTCGATTGTGGTTTTTAAAGTCGTTGAATACAAAAGTATTGGCCAACTTGTGTACTCTTGATTGGTTTATGTGGAGACAGTATATTATAGGAACGAGCTAAAAATAACTCCAGTCAGTTCTCAACCATTCAGAAAATTGTTTTGTAAATGGATAGTTTGTGGAGAAGAAGACAATAATATAACTAAGCGCAAACAGATTTGATATAATTTTTTAATTTATTAACCTCTACCACAGGTACGTTACTCTTTCTGTAAATCGAAAGAAAACGGATACATAAAAACTCGTTCGTACGAATGTAGATTATACTTGTTCTCGAACACTTATAGAGATCCAAACAGATTGTTAAGAGTCCACACATCGTCCCTGGTTAGGATTAAGTATTTAGGGTTAGTTTTTTCAACACAAACTGACATCAGGCATAACACGAAAGTGCTCTATAGTTATATGGGTGAATGAATTTTAATGCAAAAATATAAGACGTACTGTCTGACTAGTTTGTCCATGAAATTTAGTGTCACCAGTTCAAGACTTATTTCTGTATTGGATGTTTAAGATTAGAATTTAGAGACAGTGTCGATTTGTATGTCGCATACAATTTACAGAGAAAGAACTGAATTTTTAATTCATTCAACGCCATCATTCTTACTCTGTAGTGACAAAAACCTATTTTTGGCTATCACTTTAAATATTTTGAGGAGTCTAGAAATGTATTTCTACTACTCGTTATACGTGATATTTGATCTGTACTCTAAGTCAAATTCTCAATTGTTTGGTTCATCCCTCAAGTATACTTTATACAATTTATATTCATACAATGCAGTTTTGTTTAGGTAAATTTCAGGTTCAGCTGTTCCCTCGTGCTGGTCATGCTGTTCAAGAGGATACTCCAGATAGAGTAAGTCATGGTTTCTTTTTGTCTTACTCATTAGGTGCTTGTTGATGTATGGAAAAGTATTTGACAGTTGTTGTGTATCTTTTTCATTGTTTTCCTATTTTTGTGTTGACATAATGATGTATGTTGTCTAGTGACCGTTTACATTTGTGTTGTGACATTAGTTGTCTGTATATCTAGTAGTCAATACATCTGATTTTCTATCTCATGGTCACAAATTCTACCTACACTGTGGTTGCACGTGTTTAGCCAACCATAAAGTATTATTGACTGTTACACAACTCTTGGTACATTGATCCGTATTATGTAGATTTTTTGTAAAAAATTAATTTTAAAAATCGAAAGTGAAGTGAACTGTTCATCTGGATTATCACACCTCACCCCAAACAAGTCGACTTATTAGTTTACCTCAGTTTTCAACTACAAATCCACTATCGTTCACTTTTTGTCTTGTATAGCCAAATATATTATGTCATTTTGACAGATGCTTTCCAAATCTATGGATGTTATATCAGTGTCACTCTTGTATTCTATTCTAATTTCTTACCATTTAGTTAATGATCACATTTATACACTTATATGTGTATCGTTTTGTTTATTTGTATTCCTTTCCTTAGATAAAAGTATGTACCTAGAAATGTTTAAACATAGGTTGTTTTTTCGGGAAAAAACTATTGCACGTACACTTAAAACAACAAAGAGTATGCAACTTAACATCCTAGTGAGCATTGTTCATGTCAAATGCTAAAATGCCTTTATAGAAAAGTAACTAGATTCGTTTTTGGTCTTGGTTTGACACTGAAATTAAATATGCAACCATAGTCCAATCATTCGTATTTGTATCGAACATCTTATCCTTGGAGCAAATAAATCGGAATACCATAGTCATATTTCTTAGAATTCTATATTTAGGTTAGATTGCTTTATCACTGAGCAGTGGCCAACATTGTGTTTGTGTAGTCCTTTAGCACTGATCGAATTTCATTGATCAAGTTAAAATATGACCAACAGTCTAAGGGACTCCATATGATATGTACTATGATTTGATGTTTGTTAGTTGGAGGTAGTGAACAAGAAATTGTGGAGATAGGTTTCGTGATAGCTGGCATTAGTTAACAAAGCGTTCCTATAATACTAAAGGAACCGGCACTCCCTGTTGTACTAAAACATTTCTAATAAGCTGTCTGGGTCGTGACTGATGTATTTACTTTGTTTTATCACTGACTCGTGGTCAATAGTGTTAATGTTTGACTTCAACCAATCCACGATCTTGCGCAGTCCAGTGCTTGCAGGTTTTCAATGGTGATCTAACATCGATCGGTTCATGATTTCAATGCAGATAATTGTTTATTTTTTGTCTCGTCTGAGTCGTTATGTTTCACGTTTTAATAAAATACAGTCGAAGATATATTCCAATAATTTATATGATCGATTAAAACAATTATTTCATCGTAATTTATAGTATTTTTTAAATAAAATAATTTTCATTTTATTTAGGTTGCGGAATGCCTGGCTAGATTTCTAGTGCGCAACCGATTCACTGAAGCTCGTTCAGATTTGTGAACAATTAATATAGGTATTTTAGTAATGATAATAATAATATTGTTATTCAAATTGTAAATTTATCTGTCCGTTTTTTTATATGCTACAATAATTATCAAATGATACCATGTTAGCAGATTTCTTAGAGATTTTCAAAAAATATAGTTCTTCACTGACTGAGCACTTAATAGTAGTAGTGGTAGTGTAATTCTTTGATATTGATCTGGTTTTTCGATACGTGAGTATGGTTTTTTGAAGAGTGACATTTAACAAGAAGCTTAGCTTCAGAACATTTTACCGATCTACTAACTACCTAGAATTTTTGAGCAGCTACGAATCAGTATTCATGTTAAAAATTCATTTATTTTTTATCTTTCTCTGAAACTTATTTTTATTCTGTTTCTTTGAAAAAATATTTTCATATCCGGTTTTCTACTATTTTTGGTTTTATCATTTTGTCTACTTTGTTTTCTAACATTTTATCTTCCTTCTGCTGTAATATGGCAACGTAAATTGATACACGTTTATGCTTCTTTTTATATTGCTTGATTGGTCTTTCATTGTACGTTTTATTCTGAATACGTTGTTTTCCTGCTGTATGTAAATAGTTTAACTTGTTCCTAGAAATTATGATTAATAAGGTTGGAACTATTTTGTTGATATTGAGATATGAATATCGATTATTGTTTGTTGATATACGTCAATTTTGTTGACCGAATAGTTCAAACCATATAAGTTATGATGAGAACGCTTTCATTATTTGGTGAGCGAGTCTTTTCGACCGTTAATATGAAGGAAAACATGTGTCCATAAATAAACTCAATGATACAATGTGGTAGTGTTGGTTACTCGCAAGAACGAGTTTTTGAATAAGTCCCCGATTAGATTGAAATCATATATAAAACCACTAGCAAAAAGAATAGGTTTATTTTTAGATGGTAAAATAACATACAAGACATTAACACAAAATCAACATGATAAAATGACCTGAGAAAAAATTAGTTTTTAAGTCACTCAATTTCTAATCAATTAACACCTCTTCTTTGTACTCGTCATATCAAGAAATAATTCAAATTGCCTCTGAATTAATTTTACTTTTTTAATCTATTTATGAAATATATGTATGGTTATATACATAAATATTAGAGATGTCGCCCTCTTTCTTTTCTTAGCTACGTCATATCCTTTTTGATTTCTAGTATATATTTTTCATTTTCCCTATATTCTTTTTTATTATTAATGTTCATCAGTTGATATTGCATAATGTATGGACGATAAGCATTGAGTCATATTCTTCATTCTTTTTTTAAATGGAAAAGAATATAACTTAAAGATTTGACGGTAAAATTGTAATTGGTTTAAGCAATCAGAATAAGGTTAATGGCTCATGTATTCTGAGGGAAATGTACAGTGCAGCGATGAATAACTTATTATTAACTAAGTGAAATTTGACAGTATTTGATTCTTAAAATACTTGAAATCTATATAAATATCTATTATGCAACTAGAAATGTTGGTTCTCCAACTAAATTACATAACATACCTGGTACTAAGGCAAATTGTATGGTAAGGTACTTGATTCCGTTCATAGCATAACGAAAAGTGTTGAATAAAGCTAGATAATATTCTCCTTTTTTTACTCTTACTCCGAATCCCAACCCAAAGTTTCTCAAGTTTGTAAATAGAAAGATGGCAAAGCTTTGTATTATAGCTGATGTCAGTTCGTGTTGAAAACTCCGACCCTTATTTTTAAGCCTAACTCAAAACCTCAGTTTGGCTTTTAGTACCTAACCCTAACCCTTTTGTGTCATAACTAGTGTCAGTTAATGACGAAAACTCCATACGGTGACAACACTAGCACAACTCCCAATATGCATGTAGATTTGCAAGCATGACTTTTTCTTTACTACATGGGATAATTTGACATATGAGGGTTAATTATTCCATCAAAGCAGTTATTCTGTGGTGCACGAAGACTTGGTGAGGATAACTGATTTATCGTTTAATGCGAAATTACACAGTTTTAGTAAAATATGAAAACTATGCATTATTTTCACATCTTCCTACAGTTATATTTTACATTCTTCATGATTCTTTCAATTCTGTTCTTATTCCAATTATTCTGTTACCCTTTCTGTTCTCTTCAATTCACGTTTCTGCTGCCGGGCATTCCACATCCCATTGCTGCTATATACTACATATATCTGTCAGCGTAATTAGTATGCACCCTAATCCCACTGTTATTTCATTACTTTGTATCGTTACTTCTTTTATAACTAGGCAGCGTTCTCTGAGTGGCTGACAAGTCACCCAATATCGTCAATGTTATACTTTTACCGATTTGACAAAAAGAACATATCTGTTTTTTGTTTTTACTGTATCCTTTTTTGTATTCATACATTATTATTTTAGGCTTATTTGACTTCTCTCCTTTTATTAGTTACGTAGCTTGTTTTTGTTTGATGCTGTTTATGTGATAACGGTTTGTCTGTTTTTCCGTCTCGTTCTTCCTATTTTCGTTCGTTTAAAGTAAGGGGTATTTCTATATATAGATGGGTTTATTTTTTCCTCATGCTTATTATTACTATTATTACCATTATTAAACTTAGTTACCATTTTTCTACGTATTCTAGTGACTGTCGACCACATATCAAAATCGTTTTGAATATTGTTCGATGTTATTCACATAATTCGGAAGTTTCCTTGTTGCCAACGCTAGTATGTTTATTAACTCTCTCTCTCTCTCTCTATATATATATATATATATATATATATATATATATATATAAACATGGTTGAATCTTGTTGACAAGATTTTTTTATTACTAGGTCTAAGTATGATAGGAGAATCATATTTAACTTATTTGTTTGTAGTAGTACCAGTAATATGAATGCTGAAATTCAAAACACTGAATTATAGGTTTGCCATGACAAAAGATAGTGTTATGTCTTCATGTTATTCAATTGTGATATAGTGAGTATATATGTACGAAGACTTGTAATCATACTGTTGTGAACGAAGAAGTCTAGTGGGGAAAACCAATTTATTGCTTAATGCAAATTACAGTGTCTTTGTAAAATATGAAAACAATGTATTAAATACATTATTTGCACATCTTCCATCACTTGTATCCTACAAATTTCATCATTCCTTAATTCCTGTTATCATTACAATTTTTCTCTATTTACATTCCTGTTGACTTCAATTCGATCTTTTTATTCTTCTGCTATCAGGCATTCCACTTCTGATTGGTGTTGCATATTACTTATATCTTTCAACATAAGTGGCATGCACTACAATACCACTAATAATATTGCAGGTTTTTATAAGCTTACACTAGAACTTGTATAGAAAACAAGACATTCATCAGTAATAATGCGAAGGACCTTAATTCTAGTACTAAGTATTAGATCATAATTGACATTCTTGGCAATATTTTCATTTACTTTTATATAAATTCAATTTGCTTAGTAGTTTCAGTTCCTTTTTAATCATTTCCTTTGATCATTGTTTATAACATTACTCTGGACAATATTAACACTTTTTTAAATTGTGAATCAGTATTAGTACCTGCATTGGCCAACTGTCCTGTTCAGCACGAGCAGTCCGGTAGTATCATTAGTCTATATACAAAAAATTTAAGTTCAACGACGACTGCATGAAATTATACTTTGTTTTTGACCTCTTTGATAGTCATTTGGAAAAGCGACAAATAAAAGTTAAATTTATGTTAGTATATATTGTTGATGTGTATTGACCTCCAAAGACCAACAGGAATCATATAATGTCGAGTAGGATTCAGTTGATACAGGTTTTTCGGTTTGTATTGTCTAATGTAAAGATGTTTCTCGTTGGTGAATTATATGCTTTCACCATATAAGGAAGTTTTAATGTTATTTTTTGTACTAAAACTGTCTTTTAGTATAGGTGCATATTTGGTATACTAATGCTACAAAAATAATGGTTTAAATATATATGTCGAATATATTTTGGGCTAAATTTAAGGGAAAAAGTAAATCCAATAAAATAGTTCACTATGTATGCCGAAAAACGATGAATTACTTAAGAATTCCAAGGAAGTGTAATCGATGCATCTACCATTTCCTTATATTATATGTTGCCGCTTTCGTGTAATTCTAACATCTTCCGCTTCATTCTATTCAATGCTCGACTGAATAAAGCTGAGCTTTGGTATATTTTAGTGTTTGAACTATTGGTTTTTTTATATTCAGTTATCAGTTTGTTCTATGCTATGTTGCATTAGTTACTTTTAGCATGAATTCGTATTCATCAATTTTATAGCTGGTAAACGTCCATCGATTTTTTGTCACTGAATTTATTAGATCTCCTATCTGTTAGTATGTAAATTACTTCTCTAAACCAAAATGTATTGACCCCACTGCGGGGACTGTATATATGCATCTAAAAAAGAGAATTTTCAATGACAATTAATAATAAATTTCATGGTTTTTCTTTATTGTTCGTTGTCAGGTGAATATGACTGAGTTAAAAGTTAAAAAAAAACAATAGTTCCGTAAATGTGTATCAATGTTATTTTGAGATCGTGTCATGTATGAAGCTGTGCTATGTTGTAACAAATGTGTTAGTGTGGACCTGTCGACGTTTTTTTTATTCGACGTACTACATTTTCCTCGTTTGCTTATCACACGTACATGTGAAAGTAACATGTATGTGTGTTGTCTGATTAAATTAACAGAGGTTGTTCATGACATTATATATATAATTTTGACTTGCTGTTTGCATGTGTCCGAAATTAGTTTACAAGCTGATTTCCTATGCTTATTATTAAAATATGATTTCTAAGCGTTAAATTAAAGTGTTTGTTATTAACAATAGAGTGCCTTTTTACCGCCATCTGTCAATGTTCTAGTATTTTGTATAACCATTCACACCAAAAAGCTATTTAGAAAAACGCAATAATTGTGATTATCATTTCGATCGTTATTTTTTTTTAAACCATCTCTCGTTTTCTCTTGCGTATTTGTGTGTTTGTTTGTCTGGTTATGTACGTAGGAATGCTGTAGTAGCCTTATGGTACAAACCTATTTACCACTGATTAATTTTTTCACTCGGTAGTCAGTTATATATTTTTTATTAGAAAAATTTTTCAGAAAGTTTCCGTCTATTGTAGTATTGTTCATAATTATATGTATGATGGCAGCAGTATTTGGTTTCACTTCATTAAGATGTCACGTACACGCATAGAGCTCCATTTTTCTATGAATCGTAATTATGTGTATGAAATAACATATGCTTTAACTGTAAACTTGATCTGTAGATCCACTTCACTCCGTGTTCATCATTATAGTGGAGAAACAACTAATACTTGTTCATCATAATTATGAATTTGGTGTTGGATTGTGGTGAACGCAAACTTGGTGGGGATAATCAATTTATTGTTTAATGCAAATTACAGTGTCTCTGTAAAATATGAAAACCATGTATTAATTACATTCCTTAATTCCTGTTGTCATTACAATTTTTCTCTATTTACATTCCTGTTGACTTCAATTCGATCTTTTCATTCTTCTGCTATCAGGCATTCCACTTCTGATTGGTGTTGCATATTACTTATATCTTTCAACATAAGTATCATGCACCACAGGTTAAGATCAAATTCTCTCGTCATAATGTGGTATCTGTTAGCAAACATTGTAATTATTTAACCTATGCTATACTATCATCTTGTGAAATTAGTAATTATGAACAGTGTAGTGAAATAACCGCTTTCATAGTAGGATGCCGCTATTAATGATCCCTACTGATATTTGAAAATTTTAGTTGGTATAAAAGTGACCGTGATTAGTTGGATTCATGTTCAGCTTCCTAAAAATTTTCAATTTAACTAAATCCTTTTGGAGTATTGTAGTTACCAGTATTTGCAAAGTAGACTTATTTGAGTCATATATGTAAATGTTTAATGTTTTCTAATTTTTTTTATATACTGTGTATTATCTTGCTATCTTGGATTAAATGCTCGATTTCCTTACTTCGAGTAGAACAAAATACTGCATCCTGTATGTCATTATTTACAATGATATACACAGAAGCTTTTGGTAATCATTCATTGTACACAACTACATATAATTAGTTATCATTAATTAAAAATTTGCCACGTTACAAGTAACTCATGGTTATACTATTTCGGTTAAATAGTTTATTTATAAATTATAACCCTAATTTATTGTTTATTGTATTCAAAACCTCGCTCGGCGAGTGGTTCTGTTTTTAATAATCTATTTATTTGCTTGGGATTTGGGGTCTGTCCTGTGAGCTTAGTAGCAGTCAGTTTAAGTAATTCGGTGTTTGTTTTTTTCTCTCTGTTGAATTATAAATCAGGAAGTATTGATGAGCCGTTTCGTCCTGGTATGAGATTTTTTAGCACTGTGCATCCATGACTTAACTAGGAATCAATCTCTCATTGTTATACTTATAAAATTCGTGTTAGTGTAATGATAATTCTTTTTTTCAATAAATAATTTGTTATACATTTTAAATTTTCCTTTGTTTCTAATCTGAATAATGCCTACTAAATTTTTTCTTTAAATTGTTTAGTATCATATCAAGATTATTGCTGAATTCCACTATTCAGTTTTCATATATCGTCGAATACACTTTCTTCATGACTGGACGGTCGCTAATTAGACTTAGTTTGTGTATTTGTGTATGTGTATACATAAAGCTTTAATCATAGTATTTGTATAATTTCTTTTATAGAATCCTATATTACCTTGTCTCTATCCTTGTAGTGTGACTATTCAAATTCAGTTTGTTTATTTTTGGAAATTACTCGAAATGACATTGCAAAATTTCATGCCAAAATTAATTGATTAAACAAGAAAATAGATAATTACTGCTCATTGTTCTTTTTTGTTTTGTTTACTTCTTCCCATTATTAGTATCTGTTTGTGTATATTTACTTATGTATGGCGTATATATAAACTTTAATAATGTTTTAATGTATGTGCACGGGTTTCATTGTACTTCTGTTATCAAATTTTTTTAAACTTCGAAAATGCAATTGGTTATTTTTATTTGTTTATTAATAACTTCTGTTTTCTCATTTTTCATTTGACATGATGATTCTTGTAGATTTTCGAAATGTGTCATTATGACCAACTCTTCGTTTATTCATGTATAGGTGTGTAGCTTCTTGTTTTCTTCCTGTTTTCTTTTCGAAAAAAAATGAAACACTCAACTTCATTTTATTTCTCTCTTGTTTCGGTTTTGTCTTCTCTAATAATTGACCATTTTGAAGTAACAACATCATTGTCATCGTAGATTCGTATTGAATGTTTTGGTTTTTTCCCTTTATTGAGCGGAGAAACTATCTTCATGAATGTGTACTCTAAGCTGAGGATAATTTTGAATTGCATATAATTAGTTATTGTTTTTATCATATTTCCTGTACAAAATTATCTTTTTTCGGAGTTTTCCTTGATTTTCTTAGATTAGAGATCTTCAAAGGGAAAAGTGTTCATCAGTTTGTCATTAACTGTTTTCTTTATTCACTTACTATACTTGAAGTTGTTTTTTAAGTCTTGGTTATTGTTGTCATGTAGTTAGTTCTCTTTTAACAGAGTTGTTTGTGTTATTTTAAATGCTGGTGCTAATAACTTATATTGTCAAGTCTATTGTTATTTATTTCTGTGTGGTAATCAATCACATTAACGTTTTCTTTTTGGCTTTTCTTTCTCGTATATTTTATGTTCTTCCGTGTATGTGGTTGTTGATACGATTCAATGCGCTTATCTACTTTTTTTATTCGAATTTTTTACCATAGTTATTCTTTCTGTCTCTCTTCTGCTCTTATCTTTTCGATTCATGTATTTTTACAAAGAATATTTCTCGCTGACAATCAAGATGAAGTGTTAATAAAACTATAAATGCTAGTGATTAGCATCTTGTATTATTAAAATCCGTGTTTTTTTTCTTTCCCGTGTTGGTGATTAACAAATAAAATTATGCGATTGTTAGTTCATTTCTGATCATCAATAATTTCATAATGTGTTTGGTTGCTACTGCTTTTATTTTTTTCATTTGATTGTTAAATGCGAGTAAATGTTATGCTTTACGATCACCTACGCTAATTCCTGATTATTAACGATTGAGATATTTTCCTAATATAATACACAGAATCTATGTAAACTTGATAGATTAGATGACTAACATGCATAACTCTTCAACAATAATCCTCAATGCAATAGAAAACAGAGGGGAGTTAGGCAGACAAAAAAGAATCTTGTTGTTCAAGAAATCAAGTTTCTAATGGAATTGGTCAGCATATCTAATAATTTGCAATGACTCTGGAGCTTAGTAAAATTAACAGGCTAAACACAAGAACTGTTGGGGAGACCCAGAAAATTCGTCAAAAATAACCCACATGTGTCCTGAAAATGCTGGGAAACAATTTATTCAATCAGCATTGATTAGAAGCTTCTCGGAAACGTGTAGAAAGTTAAGAGTCACGTGTTACATTTCTGATTAGATGATTGTTTACTCTGCTTTACTATGTTTAGAAGGGTTCTATAACTTTCCATAAGCCCAAGACAATCTGATATGTTATAAATACACTCGATTTTCTGTACATAAACTAACCATGGAGTAAAGCGTTCTTCCCGCATTACGCACCTTTTCTCCCGTGTTCAAGTTGTGGTGTAGAGTTAGCCTGGAGTTATTAGAAGAGCTTGGAAAACCGATTCAAACGTTCAGTCAGAAGATTTATCAAGAACAACCTATCAAATAACAACAAAGGTCTTCGCGAAAATATCGAATGGAAAAATGTTATCCTAATTACCTTTATCTGTAGTAGCTATAGTTTATCAATGAAAAATTAGGTAATTTAAAGTCTTCATAGCAGCTGACTTGTACATGTCAATACACAGTTTTGTACTGAACAATTCCTTTTATGTAAAAAATTAAACTAAATTGATTGGGTACTACAAATTATTTGATAGGACCTAAAAAAACGAATCTAGTTTCATTCACATACAATAAATCAACTAAGGACTGTAGTAGACTGTCATACAATTATTTTTAAAAAATTCAGGGTGTGGCAATCTTACCACTCTCAATACTTCCTTTTTGTAGTAATACACTTATCTCGTTTAAATTCCCATCATTCGAAAAATCTCTGTTACTCCTCGAAAGTTACACTTTTTGAGGATCTCATCATTCCTGAACTTTAAATATTCTATTAGTACAGTGTGGATAGACTTTTCCAAGACTTTTTTCATCAGTAATGATCCGAAATGCATGGAAGACAGCATTCCATTCGTGTTTTGCAAACAAAGGATGTCGATAGTTGTCTTGGTATTGCATGATTCTCGTAATTGTCATAGCCCTCACCGAACTGCCTAATCCACTTATTGGGCACAATATTGTTTTCATGGACAGTCCTAAATATTCATGAATTCTAAGTTTTTTGATGGATCACAATTATCTTTTTTTGTATTTAGGTAACAATGGGGTGTTAAAATATTCAATCTAACATAGTAGAGCATGTGTATCAATACTTACAGTTTCTAACATGTATCTGAACGGCAACCTAATTTTTTCAGGTTGGATAGCTATGCACTGAAGGCATTTCACAAAGCGATTATCACAATAAGTTATACATAAGGCATCAGGTGCATACTGAATTTGTCAACTTTCCTATGGAAGAGATTTTCTCACCATTAAAACGTGGTATTTCAAATGTTTTCATCGGACTAATAAAATAGACTTGTAAGAAACTATGCTTAAACTGATTACTGTATGTCCGATACTTTAAAACTGTGTTACAAACAAACTATACTTCATTTATCTCCATCAACTATTCTAAGAAAATTATTTATATTGAGATATGAAGGACAGTTTAAAAAATTGAGTTTACTTCTTGAGAATCTTTATCCATGTTGATCGTAATGTGAAAATATCACGAAAATATAAAATCATTATTATGATTCACAATAATAATGGAAAAAGCAAGCTTTTGGAAAAATTCAGTTGCTTAACTGTTATAATAAAAGTCTGATCAATTTCTAAAAGCTAATAGAAGAGGTTTTATTCAGTTTCTCTATTTTTCATTAGAATTGGGATAATCACTTACATTGTAAGGAGTTAATACGATGTTGGTTTATACGGATCTTTGCAAAAATGCTAACCATGACATGCAACTTTGTAATGACTTTACGTTTATAATTTCCCACATTAATGAATAATTAGAAAAATGTCATTAAGACAAAGGATAACATATATGGAGTTAAATGGGTCGATTTCATGTAATATCGTGAAAGTTGACTCAGACAAAATAGATATGGATAAAGCCAATAGTACCATACTCTGTTTTATATTCATCACAATAAAGGTGTATTAACACAAGGTAAACTATCAACTTCAGTTCTTGGTGCTCTCGAAAACAGTTTTATTTATCATGATCCAAGAACTTCAGTATTGCTTCCTAATTATGAATATAGATAGGGTTTTTCATGATTTTTTAAAATGTTATCTATGGTGTTTAGAATCTTTTTTTATATGATGAATTTAGTTTAGGTAGATAGGTATCAAGATCAACATCATTAGCTGAGGTATTTTGTCCATAACATGTCATTGTTTCTTTTGACAATTACTGGCTGAAATCAAAGCGAAGTAGTGTAATCCACAAAATGTATACACCACACTATGGCATTGGTCTATCAAGTTGATAAGTATTGACTTAAATAGTGCTAGTTATTTGGTAGGTTATTTTATAAAAAAGGTGATGAAATACTAAAGAACAGAACTGGTGTATCTTAAGTCAACATTAATATTATTTCGATCGCTTAATATTTTATTCAGGCTCTGGATTTTATCATTGCTCATATATGGTTATATCCCAATAAATAATATGAAATTACGTAGTACTGTTGGTAAGATTACGAATTTTCTCTGTTTTCATGACTTTCATTACGTCTACTCATTACACTGGCCGTTAAAAATCGTAGAAAATATAGATTGGTTCATTCGGTATACAAAATCCATAGATTCGTTGATGTAACTGAGTTATTCATAGAGTAATGCGTTTGTAAATATTCACAGGTTATACTTTTCATATTTTCACTATACAACTTAATAGACCTAAATGGCTTTGTTCACATTTTTGCTACTATTTATTTTATTGTCCTTATATATAATGACTGTTAACAATCTCTTTACATACTAAAGATGTGTGTTATTCGTAATCTTTTTTCTCATACAATACAGTACACTGATGTTATAATAAACTTATTTTTTCCTGTTCAATTGTTATATATTTTGCTTCGGGCAGTTTCACTTTTAAGGAAATAAAGTCTTTCCTCATTTAGTAGTTATTCATTATAACCTTGACTACTTTATTTCCTTTAGGTATTACTGTTACTCTACAAAATGAAAAATTTGTTAACTACGCGATCGACTATTCTTCCAATTTCCTTAACAACCAGACATGGTGTTTCTCTACATACACAGTCAAATGCATTATATACTACTAGATCTCGTCGTTTATTTGGTCGTTTAATGAATGTACGATATGTGGAAGAACTGGAAGCTAAACTGCCAGGTCCTATATATTCATTAGTAAAATGGTGGTCTAAAATAAGACCTTTTAAAGTAGAACTAGCAGATCTTCATCGTCGTGTTCTACGTAATAAAGAAGGATTTGATGTACGTCCACTTATTTTTGTAATAAATTTCAATGTTAAGAGATGTTACATAATTATTTAAAAGTACTATAATAATAGTTTTATTGCAAAATGCTCATTTTTATTCTGAATTTCATTATCAGCGTTTATTTCAAACAAAGGCCAATACTTAAATATCATCTTACAAGTGTTAATTAATCTGTTGTTGCTATTCATGTATCATTGCATTTTCGTTGACTTTTATCAGTTTAAGTTTTTACCATATTATTGATTGATATCGTGTCCGCTGATGTTGATAGATAAGGTTGATGCTGACAAATCTGTTGACAGTGCAGTGAACGAGAACACCAGTGTGTACAATGAAACGTATTTGAATACAAAATTACAGAATATTTTAGTGAAATGCAAGAACCATACAGTAAATATTTTATTTGCAAAATGTCAATCAATTGTTTCAGACTTGGTTGTTCCTTTGCTTTCACACCAATCACTCTCTGTTCTCTTTTATTTTATCTTCCCAACCTTCTGCTTCCATGCATTCCACTTTCGACTGGTGATACATACTACGTATATCTGCCGCCACCAGTAGCGCGCACCACAATAACAAGAGAACTTAAATATCTTGGTGCTTAAGTTACTTTGATCTAGAATTTCAAAATTATCGTACTTCTCAAATTCATATCCGTTTCAGGCAATATCACGTAATCTATGTTGTTTTTTTGCTGAACGATGGTGACGATGTGATGACTTTCGTCATTAATTCGTATTCAGTAATTTATGCATATATATGTGTTTTGTTTATCCTATGGAAAGAAGACTCAACCTGAATGTTTTATATACAATTTATACCCTTTTATCAATCCTATGCAACTGACAAAAGACGTATTGGAATAAAAATGAAATAGATTGATATCACGAATGGGTCAATGTTAGACCACTATTGAAAACCTGGAAGCACTGGACAACCGTTTTGTCCTAGTATGGAACTAGTGAGCATTTCACATCCACAATCCTGCACATGAGACTCGAACCCAGGACATTCGGTCTCACGCGGACGCTTAACCTCTAGACTATTGAACCAGTATGCATTCATGATATCATTCTGTACTCAACAATCTACACAACCCTATACTGATAAAAATGAAATAACTTTTATTTCCTACAAATACTGTTTTATTAAGAGAACTAATACTTGTTTAGTTTATTCCCATCTTCATAATATGTTGTTGTTACACTCATTAATAGCTTTACTTGATGTCAAAATTTTCACTTTAATCAGCGTAATTGTATATTTATTTATACTCGTGCTTCGACCAGTCTTATTCTTCTTTCGGGAGTTGAGTATATTTCCAACTTTTTAAATAGAATGTCACAGTAAAATAAACGTATGATGCTATTTTTATGTTTGAATATGTAGTTCAGTACTAAAAACGTTTGTATTTATCCCGTTATTATTTGATATTTTGTTTTATCGACGTATTCGGATCACAAAGATGTTAGAGGGGGGGTAATCAGGAACTTTATATTCTAGTGTCAATTTTTAAAATAGTTTGTATTTTTATTTCTATTTTATTTAAACAATATGATAGGACAATTAGATTCAGTTATCTAGATCGGGTTAAATAAATATAATGTAGATTACTATAACTTAATGATCAAACAGTGGGTAGGTATTGTTTATTTGTTATTTCATTGTTGAAGAAGATTTGTTGTTCAGGTGTAGTTTTATTCTCTGAGCTGGGTGATTTGGTTTTGGAGATTTCTACCTGAAGTTTGTGCTGATGTTGTTCAGAAGAACGATGAAAGCTCCATGATCAAACCATTTAGCTCAGAAAACAAAGCTCCAACTAAATTATTTCAGTGCATCATAGGATTGTTGCTTTTTATTATTGTGTTTACCAATATCGACTACTGAATCATTGTCACTGTTATTGTTCTAATTCTCAATCTTGTATTGTACAACAAGCAATATTCGGGTGTCGTTAGCGTAATGTTTTGTATATTAGTCATAAATATATTTATGTTAGAATAGTGGTACGTGAAGATTTCATAGATTAGATTTGCATGTTTTCAAATTTGGTCTGACTTAAATAGGTTCATAATTTCAATGAAATTCAACAGTCTCCAAAACTCCATACTGACAGTTATCACGTGTTCACTAGTTTCGAGAGGAAATTTTTGAGTTCTAGTGAATATTTGTGACCACTGGAGGTAAACCGTGTCGGTCATGAAACATTTATCCACCGAAGACAATGGAAGATAGTTGCGCAATGTCGTAGAATTGATTGAATTTAAACATTAACACCATTGGATACTGGTTCAGTAGTCTAGAGGTTAAGCGTTCGCGTGCAACGCCGTAGGTCCTGGGTTTCATTCTTGCGTATGCGATTGTGGATGCTTACTGCTGAGAAGGCTTGTACTAGAATGAAGTGATAATCTAACATTCTTTGATTAATGAGTTCGACGAAATTTGCATGTTTTGCAGAAATTAATTTTAGGTAAATAGTTAGTTGGATATATGATGAAATAATCTGTTGTGATCCGGAAACCAAAGGATTAACTGTTAATCAAATGAAATTCATCACATCTCTGTACAAAATAATATCTGAGATGGTGGAGAAGATTTGTAGCTCAGGTGGATGATTTTGGTGGAATTTAGTTCTCTGAGCTGGATGGTTTGGTCGTGGAGCTTTCATCGTTCTTCTGAATGACATCATCAACACAAACTTCAGATAGAAGTGAAGTGTTCGAATTTCACCATATGTGTTTCACAGCTTGTTCTGTGCACTTCGATGTTAAATGGTTTTTATTGACCTTAAATTTGTCATTGTTTACTTCTTTGTTTTGGTTGCGTCTCCCATTGGTTTGATTTTTGTTCTTATATTTGTGCATGATTTTCCTGATTGGTTGGTAAATTGGATTGATTTTGTTGTGGATGCGGAGGAATAGACCAATAATTATCATGTTAAGTCCAATGGTGTCCGTGGACTTTAAATGGACATTTCCTATTGGTCGATATCTGTTCACTTGTTGAATATTGTACAAAATGTTGTTTTCGATTTTATGGTACGATGTGGTATGCTTGATTGGTATATAAGCAGAGTGTGTTTGAAATATAAAGGATTCATAACTCAGAGGCTGTGACTTGCGTTCTTGACTCAACTGGCTGGGATAGTCAGGGAAGCGGGACCAATCGGAACTCTAGGTCGCCCATTACGTTGGTACGTGTTTACGTGTCATTGAATCGATCGATAGATACGCTGTTCTCTAGTTTTTTTCAGTCAAGGACACCACAGTTAGCACAAGGTAAAAATCGACCCAACTTAAAGTCACAACAGATTTCAATATGCTTGTTGATTGCTGATCGACCTGAATTCCAGGCTTCTAAAAATTCTCTGATGTTTTTGAAGTTTCCTTTAAAATTTCCACATTTTTCCAATCGAATGAGTGTCCGCAGTTGTTCACGTGTATTGATATAAGTGAGGAGATATTACATTTAAATGAAAACTGTTGGCAGTAATTGTAACTGTATCACTTTCTAGGAATATATTGTTCTTATTCTGTCTATCAAAGCATACTTAACACTTAATTGTTTATTTAATTGGATGCCGGCCAGCTCAGTGGTCGAATGGTTAAGCGCTCGCGCGCGAGACTAATAGGTCCTGGTTTCGAATCTCGCGGGGGGCGGGATCGTGGATGCGCACTGCTGAGGAGTCCCATACTAAGACGAAACGGCCATCCAGTGCTTCTGGGTTTTCTATAGTGATCTAGCTTCAATTGATTCATGATCTCGAGTATTGTTTATTTAATTGTTTAACAATCCTCAATCTTAAAATTCTCTAAAATATCTATAAATTATCCAGTTGAACAATAATCGCATACTCACTAGTGTGTTTGGCCTTAAAATATATTCTTTAAGTCCTTCTGAAAGAATCGTGCGATTGGTAGACTTAATCCTTGTGTTAAGATAGATAAATACTACAAATAGCATTGTATAATCGTACTGATGTGTATGTCAATCTGATTAAATTTAGAAATGTAAATGATTGAATTATAATTCATTATTCTAAATTCATCATTTTTCTTTATCTGACTTGAATATCTTTTAGTTCATTGATATTTGTGATTGATATGTGAAATTGTGAGTTAACACCATTATTAGTTTTGAAAGTACAATACAACAGATGATTCCCAGTGTCTATCCAGTTAATATTAACTTGTGAAGTACATTACTTTTCTAGATTAAAGATTAGTCATCTAAGTACTTACTCAAAAAGAAAAAAACGTTTTCGCAGCTTTGAGAAATGCTTCGTTATTTATTTACTTATTTATTTGAACACATAAACATTGGTACAAAGGGGCACCGAATACATATGCATCACACACGTCATTTGATTTGTATGTATGGGCTGTGATACTGTCCGAGTGCCCAATCCGAATCTTCGTTAATGAATTAATGTTGCTAAAAAAATTTCAATGGTATTCAATCGTTCATAACATATTATTTATTGTATAAATTAATGTCTTTACAAAAGATCTGATGCATTATTAAGAGAAATATCATGGGAATTTTTTTACATATATATATATATATACAAAACCCATCTGATATTAATCAACATATGCTCACTAGTGACTGGCTTCACGAGGTATATCCTGGAGTTCTAGTGAGAAGTAGTGACCAGTGGAGTTCAACCAGGTCTGTTGTAAGATAGTAACTCATTGAAGACAATGATGGAGGTGACACTGAATTTCGTCGATTAGTTGAAGTTATACATTAACACCGTTGGATATCGGCTCAGTGGTCTGGTCGTTAAGTGCTCGCGCGCGAAACCAGTAGGTTCTGCGTCCGAATCTTGCAGGGTGCGAGGTCGTGGATGCGCACTGCTGAGGAGTTCCGTACTAGAACGAAACGGCCGTCCAGTGTTTCCAGGTTTTCCATGGTGGTCTAGCTCCAACTGACTTGTGATCTTAACCATTGAAATTACTATCATATCCATTATGTATGCATTGAAAATTGTT